GACTCGTTGCGAAGGGCTTCAAACAACGGTATGGCATAGACTATGAAGACACCTTTAGTCCAGTTGTAAAAGCTGCTACCATTCGTCTTGTGTTGTCCATTGTTGTCCATTGTTGCGAAGGGCTTCAAACAACGCGTTAGGTGCAGAATTTGCTCTCAAGGATCTAGGAGAATTACATTACTTCCTAGGAATTGAGGTGAAGCAGCACAAGGATGGGTTACTTCTCTCTCAGGAAAAATATGCCACAGATTTGGTAAGGAAGGCAGGCTTGCAAGGTTGTAAACCCACACCCACTCCTCTCTAGTACAGAAAAATTATCTCTTACAGAGGGAACACTCTTAAGTCCAGAAGACAGTACAAAATACAAAAGTCTTGTAGGTGCACTTCAGTACTTAACTTTGACCAGGCCAGACATCTCCTTTGCTGTTAACAAAGTATGTCAGTTTCTGCATGCACCCACTACAGTTCACATGACTGCTGCCAAGCGCATTGTCAGATATGTCAAATATACTCTGAATATTGGACTAAATTTCAGCAAGTCACCTTCTACTCTTGTCAGTGCTTTTTCTGACTCAGATTGGGCAGGATGCTTGGATGACAGACGCTCAACTGGTGGCTTTGTAGTATTTTTTGGACCCAATCTCATATCATGGTGTGCCAGAAAACAGGCTACAGTCTCCAGGTCTAGTACTGAAGCAGAATACAAGGCTTTGGCCAATGCAACGGCAGAAATTATATGGATACAGTCTATCTTAAAGGAGCTGGGTGTGAAAAGCTCTCAGGCTCCATGCTTATGGTGTGATAACCTTGGTGCCACCTATCAGTCTGCAAATCCAGTGTTTCATGTCAGAACAAAACACATCGAGATAGATTTTCATTTTGTCAGAGAAAGAGTGGCTGATAAACTCTTGGACATTCGCTTTATCCATTCACGGGATCAAGTGGCAGATGGGTTTACAAAAGCCCTGCCCGTAAGGAGTTTCGAAGACTTCAAGCATAATCTTAACTTAATGAAGTTGTGATTAAGGGAGGGTGTCAAACAAGGCGTATATGTGCAGGACTCATGTATTCTCGTGGAGATCAACGTAGATACGTATAGAGGTTGTTAGGCCGGCTTGTTATCTCTTATGTCTTGTAACTAGCTTAGCCTTATCTCTTCTATTCTTCCTCTTCAAGTTGTACTTCCGATTCTCTCCAACCGCATGTATGCGCTATCAGGGATCCTGCGCCCCTGCCTATAACATGCAACACGTCGTCTCACATCGAGGTAAGACGTTTCCGTTCTCGCACAATTTCTACATAGTATAGATGAAATAAGAACAAAACATTTCGGCAAAATCCGAGTCTTTCCCGTATACAGACCTGGTGTGCGGCTGTTTTAAATCATTGTCACTGTTTCGTGGCGGCAATTGTAGAATCCAAATCCAGCGATAACTTTTTGATTGCTCATCTTTTTACTGCAACCTGACAACGCTAAATTATTTCAAAGCAAAAGTAATGATGGTGCTCGCTTGTCTAATCAGAAACCATTGTCTAAGATTCAACCGGGTTTTTTTTTCACTGCAAAACATTTTTCTGCTGGTAAATTATCTAGTTCTGCCACTAACATTAGACCATGCACCCGTACACTATCTCTGCCATGCCGTTTTCAGTATGCTAGCTATAACCCTCAGCTGTGTTGTGGTCAATTTGTAGAGTAAGAAACATGATCTGCTTTCAGCAGGCATAGTGGAGGTGGTTTGCAGCTTTCATGCAGGAAAACCGTCAGTCAATCGAAGACACTTGTAGAGACTGGGGCAACACTTGTAGAGACTGGTAAGGGCATGTACAATGCATAGCCTCAAGATGATGCCTCGCATGCCATGTAGGATCGGATATGACGTAAAGTAGGTTCGGATAGGGAAGCGGGATCCTCTCCAGAAGGCGGGTGCTTGAAGAGAAAAAGTGTGGTCCGGTGACAAAAACTGAAAAGATTGGAATGAAAAATAGAGTCTTTATTTTCTACTCCCTCCGTAAACTAATATAAGAATGTTTAGATCACTACTTTAGTAATCTAAACGCTCTTATATTAGTTTACAGAGAGAGTATTTTTTAATGAGACCCACTAGTGGTAGCTTGCATTGCGAGAAAAAATAAATGTAATCTTCATGAGACCCATTAGTGATAGCTTGCATTAGGAAGAAAAATTAAATATAGATGTCTCAAATTATTTTTTGTCATGAGGTATATGTGTCCATATGCCATCATTGTACATGCCCTAACAAAGCTTGCTCTGCCACATAGTTGAGGTGAGCAAGATCAGTAAACAAGTGGCATCGATCCTGGTGGGAGATGCTAAATATGATCGAAATGCTGACAAATATTTCCGCTCGAAATCCGGGCCTGTCCACGACGCAAATCTGCTCCCTAACTGTTTAAAAGAATGAACATGTCATGTGGTGGCCCTTGTATAGACCAAATGCAACGAGATTCCTGCCATATAGATAAAAATAACCTGAGTAGACGTGTCCCCTTTGGATGTATTTTTACCATTGGTCTCAACGTTCAATTTCCCCTACTACCTGACAACACTGGTAGGCTCGTTGTAGCCATCACTTTGGTTTTTCTTTATCGCAAATACATATTTTACTGTTGGTATGGCCACGTACCGAAGCAACAATCCAAATCCGCCGTTGATAAAACAACATCCGTAGCTTGAGACTAATGGTGGTGCGTGTCAATCGTCAAACGTGTGTATGTACGTGAATCAACCTATGGTTGAGTTGGTTAGGTGGACAGTGGTATTCTCAATCCATCAGGGTTCAAATCCTGATGCTCGCATTATTTCTGGATTTATTTCAGGATTTCCGGCGATATGCTTTTAGTGGGAGGAGACGTTCCCGTCGACGACGAGGTACCTGCGGTGACTTTGTAAATCTCAAAATGATATGCCGGCTCAGTCTCTCGGAGGTGCTCATAGAGATAGAATGTGCATGTGTGCGTTCATAGGGGTAAGTGTATGCGCGTGTATATGAGTCTGTACTGATGCTAAAAAAAACGTGCGTACGTACTCACATGCACATGATCCGGCGTCAGCAGACTATAGAAGTATAGAGTACAGTTAGCCGTTGTCCGTTTAGGCGGCAGCAGCAGCTGAAAACCGTGCCGCATCGGTGTCCCGGGAGCCAGGATGCGTGCTAGTTTTATAGTACGATCTAGTGAAGTCGCGCAAGATCTGCCTCTTGGCTTGTGTCTAGATATTGATTCCTCCACACAACAATTTGCTTCTCGTGATAGAATTAATTAGAAGGGATGCCAAATCATGCGCTCTCTCTGATTTATATTACTCGCCGCTCATTTAGTATGCAATGCGCCTCGACTCGATTCTTGTCGCATTCTAGAAGAGGCAAAGTTCTTACTGAGGAGAATTTGAGGCTCCGGCAGAGCCCTAGACACATGCTTTCGATCGGATGATAGTAGCGGCGCATTGGTGTTGATCTGTTGTTCTTCATGTTGAAGGCACCGCTTTGGAGTCGGATTTGGATAACGATGGTGTTGGGCATGGCATGCATGTTTGTGGGTCTCGAGACATATGCCCCACCTTTAATAGTGCAGAGACCTGTTTGGCAACGATGATGATGGCAAGTGAAGACGCGGTTTATAATCGACACTATGAAGTTGGAGCTACCATGTTGATGACCAGGTGAAAATGTTGATAAGCTAAGGGGGTGAGTCGGTTGTGGTGGATGACATCAACAGAGCCCTTGCGCTCATATATCTCTAATGAATCTTGCCATCAAGATCGGAGTAGACTCATATGGCCCTAATTGACGGTCATGCTCCACTATAGCCGGCGTTTTGGCATGTCGTAATGTTCATTTGCCTCATTTTTTCTCTTGTTGATAGGAAATTTTACGAGCATTCTAATTACCGCACCATTTTTTCCCTAGGGTTCACAGAGAGGCGGCGGCTAGCTTTTCTCTTGACCTTGTAGGTGCCCAACGGGTTCCTTGTCCTTCCTAACCGCTCCCCGTGTGGGAGGGTGGGGGCACCCCGAATCTGAGTGTCACGGTTCGTGTTTTGTAGGCTTTTCAAGCTTTTTTGTCATTGATAAAGTTAGGGCAATAACGACAATGGAATAATGGTTCCCCAACTTTTCCATGTCGATGCCTTTCCTTGGAGTGGCGTCGAGGAGTCGGAGTATGGTGTAAACCGTTGGGCAGTCGGTCTAGCATGATTAGTGTTTCTTCATGGCGATGGCGGCCTACTGAAGGGATGATATTGCAACATGTTTTTGTTCTCCGTCTCCCCGCGATGAAGCTCAGCCACATACCGCTTCATGAGGGAACTTGCGAGGTTTGTGTTCCCCTTCTCTGTCTGGACTGGAGTTGAGATTATCTTTTATCTCTCCTCGGTGCCGAACTCTCCTGGACGATGATCTCTCCCGTTCGCAGTCACTGGTGACTGGTCGGCTGCTGCTTCTACAAGCTCTTCAGTTTAAACAAGTTTTGCTCCGGGAATGGGAAGGCCTAGAGACGGCAACGAGTTTTGCTCGCAAAGGATGCAGAAGGAAGACAGTGTTGATTTCTTCAAATACTTGTTCGCGACTCTTATTCTTTCAAGGAATTCCTTGTAAGGACAGGTCTTCCCCCCTTTTGTTGAAAATTTTACTTTTAATTAATTAACAACTATAAGTAATGAAACGAAATATCCAAGCTCCGCTCATTTTCAATTTTTTTCGAGAGTGCCGTTCATTTTCAATTGGAGCTCGAGTTAAACATGCCGCCGCAGCAGGTCAGCATGGTCCTGCGCCGGGCGCGAAAAGGACGGCAGAAGCGCCAACAAAAAGGGGCGCCCGCGCCATCCCACAAACGCCGACGGCACGATCTCCCCCGGCCCCACCCAGGCCCAGGCCACATCACCATATCCCGCGCCCCCGTGACGCGCTCCTGCGGCGAAACCACCTTCCCCCCATTCCCTCCCTCCACCCACGCGCCGCGCCGAGGAGAAGCCAGCCCAGGATGGCGGCCGCCGCCACCTCCTCCTCCCCGTCCCCGGCCACCTTCCGCGCCGCGTCCCGCCGCGTCGCCGGCCGGCCGCCCTCGCGGGTGGCCGCGTCCGCCGCGGCGACGACGTCCCCGGAGGCGGCGGCGCCCCTCAGGGCCGACCTGGCGCCCCTGGCCCCCGCGCCGCTGATGCGGGTGGTGCCCGAGTCGCTGCAGGGCGCGAGCGGGGCGCTCGTGGGCGTGCCGGGCCGCGGGGCGGGGGCGGGGGAGGAGGGGGGACTCGACGGGCCCGGCGCCATGGAGTACCTCACGGCCGTGCTCGCCTCCAAGGTCTACGACGTGGCCGTCGAGACCCCGCTCGAGCGCGCCGCCAAGCTCTCCGACCGCCTCGGGGTCAGCCTCCACATCAAGCGCGAGGACCTGCAGCCGGTAATCAATTAATCAATCAATCAACCGCCACCTTAGAACGATGCAGGCAATCGTCCGCGTGGGGAGATTCTCGCATTTTCGAATTGTTGCACCCTGGTAGAACTTCGATTGGTGTGGGCTTTGCGGGGGTTTTGCCTTTGCCTATGATGCTTACTGTTTAGATTCCTCGCGCGCCTTCGGCGTCGACGCGTTGCTGTCATGCTTCCTCGACAATAATGGAGGTTTCGGACAGTACTGTCATTTCGGCAGGGGGTTAGCGTGGTGTTTTGTGATTTGAAATGCACCGCCGCGTCAGAGGTCTCAAGTACGCTGGCCGGCCACGTCAAAACATGATCAATCACTTCAGCGCCCATGTCTTGAGTCCCAGCGCTTGCTCTTGCAGGGGAGAGGCAGCGAGCACCCCCAGCTTCAGGTCTCCGGCCATATCTTCAGGTCCAGCAGCACCAGACCGCTAGTTTGATGACCGTTACCTCGGATTATTTGCCCACAATCCAGCTGGGATTATTTGGGCGTGCATATAACTTGAAAGGCCAAAGAAGTATCGTCAGGCAGTCTGCACTGCAAGCATCCAGAGCTGGCTAGTAGCACAGTAACCTTGAAGGGGAGCTTCGCTCCACATTCCCCTCTCTCAGGAGGTGCTTGCAGAAGGTGGTTAGCAGATGTAGGCCTTGTTAACCTCCAGTTGACAGCAAGTACTCTGTCATCTTTTTGCGCAGGATTACTCTCAGCTGACCCAACTCCTCTGCATCTCCCTCTTTGAAAGACGCCTTCCAGTTCCTGAGTGCCTGCACTATGAGCCTCCACATCTGTTTCATATTATAACCCAGGGCGGAGTGTCAAACACTATTATTTCTGCAATTCCAGACCCTCCACAGAACTGCTGCAGAAGTAACACTGAATATCTTAAACCTCTTGTTAGTTGTTACTTAACCAGGAAGTAGCCACAGATAAAAAGGTCAGAAACCTGAATACAGGTAGCCTGTATTGGTGGCTATTTCTTCCCAACTTAACCTAGCTACAATACAGTAAAAAGTAGGTGGTGCCCTGATTCAGTTTCAGAACAGTGCACACATTCAGGGATTTTCTCCGTTACTTTTGTAAAAAGCTGTCCCTAGTCATAATATTGTTCAAGAACATTAACCACAAGAAAATCTGAATCCTAGGGTGATTTTGCAGCTTCCAAACATCTGGAACAAAAACAGGCACAACTCCTCTGAAATTGATAATCTTGTGTAGAGAGCTGGAAGAGCAAGTACCATTTTGTATTCATACTTCCGTAGCAAACAATATGCATCAGAATAGCAAATACTACTAGCAGTATCTTCAAACTCAAAGCCTCAAACCACTGTTGTAACCGAACCTGTGTACAAGTTCTTCTGAAAGTGCATTTTACCTGGATACCATCCCTGGTCTCAGGCTCTCAGCTACAACTGAGTTTTGCTCATTTAAAATGTATTTTATTGTGAGCTTAATATTAAAATTTGTTGAACAACGGAAGTTTAGGGCATGTGGAAGTTTCTAATCTGATATATCAGATCATTTAGTGTTATTATGATTGACATAATGGTATCAGAGAGAGGGGTAGGGGTATCCTAGGTGCAAACTGAAAACTTTATCTCTCATGGATATTTCTGATATATTGTATAGTTTATAGTGTCCTCTTGCCCTTAGCTTTATTGTTTACCAAATGCTTGGCTTTCTACTTTTTGTGTTTATTTATTGCACATGTAGCTGTTACTGGCTCCTTCAATGGCTATTTTCATACCTAGGTAAATTTGTTTGTTTCATGCATAGGTGTTTTCATTCAAGTTGAGAGGTGCATATAATATGATGGCAAAGCTCTCCCGAGAGCAGTTGAACAATGGTGTTATCTGCTCCTCTGCTGGAAACCATGCTCAAGGAGTTGCTCTTTCTGCCCAGAAACTGGGCTGTGATGCCGTTATTGTCATGCCTGTGACAACACCAGAAATCAAGGTCATCATTCTCTCGATGCCATTACCTAAATATGATGTTATACATGGTATATTTACGTTATTATCACCAGCTACTAACATATAACTTAGTCCAGTGGCGATCAGTGGAGAGATTGGGTGCGACAGTAGTTCTGAAGGGAGACTCATATGATGAAGCTCAGTCATATGCAAAATTACGGTGTGAACAGGAAGGCCGCACATTCATACCTCCTTTTGACCATCCCGACATCATCGCTGGACAAGGAACTGTTGGCATGGAAATTGTTCGTCAACTGCAAGGTCCATTACATGCAATATTTGTACCTGTGGGAGGTGGTGGATTAATTGCTGGCATTGCTGCCTATGTGAAACGGGTCCGCCCTGAGGTTAGCTTTCAAGCTCAGGAGTATTTTCTTCTTCTATGAAAAATATCGCAAGACACCCAAGTTCTTTGTAAATGGCATCAAAGTAAATGGCTTTGTTTTAAGTGCGCTTTGGAGGTTCAATTGTTTTTCATCCAATCGCCTAACTGTAATCCTTCTCCAGATTGAACTCAATACATCATTTGGTTACATTGGAGTACAATATTCATATTCAGGGTGTCACTTTCTTGTATGTTTACAACAGTTCTGGTACAGGTCAAAATAATTGGAGTAGAGCCCTCAGATGCAAATGCCATGGCATTGTCCTTGTGTCATGGCCAGAGGGTCGTGTTAGAACATGTTGGAGGGTTTGCTGATGGTGTAGCTGTCAAAGTTGTTGGGGAGGAGACATTTCGCTTGTGTCAAGAACTTGTAGATGGCATTGTCCTGGTCAGCAGAGATGCTATTTGTGCTTCAATAAAGGTGAGAATGATCAGTTTATTCTATGTCTGCTCTGCATCATTATGTTAAATGTATGTGTTACTACTGAACAGTGACCTTTTTTTGTCACTGTAAGTCTGCACTGCTCAATTTACTTGAATAAAAGCTCAGCATACAATGCACAAAAAAAATCCTACTTACAAAAATTTTCTGTGATCCAATGGTCTGTCCATGTAATCCACCAGCTGGAGAACTTTCTAAAGTTACATGTTTTAATCACTCTCTAGTGGAGAAGGTGATCTAGTTTTCGAGCTTTCAATTATTCGTGTGGATATTGATATTCAATGTATTTTTTTAATTTACTACGCATAGGTATCCTGTTAATATTGCTGAAAAGTAGGATGCTGGAAATTCTCCCATGGCAGTTTGTTCTATTCCAATCTTACTGCCATCATGCTTGTTGACTGTTTATGCTATATTGCTGTGGATGTTCTGCACTGATAATCTTTTTCATACTGAAAATGTTGTTCTTCGTGGGTGCAGGATATGTTTGAGGAGAACAGGAATATCCTTGAACCTGCTGGGGCCCTTGCCTTGGCAGGGGCTGAAGCTTACTGCAAACACTATGGTTTGAAAGGGGAAACTGTGGTTGCAATAAGTAGTGGTGCGAATATGAACTTTGATAGACTTAGATTAGTAACTGAGCTTGCTGACGTTGGTCGAAAACGAGAGGCGGTATTAGCTACATTTTTGCCAGAGGAGCAGGGAAGCTTCAAAAAGTTTGCAGAACTGGTATGCATCATGATTTTTTCTATCAACACATAATAGTTTATATTCTGTTTCTTTTCTTATGATTTCTTGTTCCGCAGGTTGGCCGGATGAATATTACTGAATTCAAATACAGATATGATTCTAACGGAAAAGAAGCCCTTGTTCTTTACAGGTACTCGGATAACAATTTCAATAATCTTGTTCATGTACCGGTTTATTGTTTCTTGATTACTTTTTCTAGAACCTTGACGGGATAGAAATACTCATACATAGAGACAGTGACTTTTTACATTCTCCTGGCTAATCTATATGGTTTTTCTGTATTGCAGTGTTGGCATCTATACTGACCATGAGCTTAAAGCAATGGTGGAACACATGGAATCATCAGAACTTAAGACTGTGAACCTTACTGACAATGATCTCGCAAAAGACCACCTAAGATACTTTGTAAGTTAAATTTTTCTGCCACAGTGATAGCCTCATATCCCATTAACACATTATTTTGGTACAGTTGACAAATACTCCCTCCGTCCAATATTAATTGGCGCTCAAACAGATGTATCTGGCACTAAAATACGTCTAGATACATCCGTTTGAGCGTCAATTTATATGGGACGGAGATTGTAATTACTACCAGTCACATTATGGTAATATTAAGGTTTACTTGATGAATATTCCATTTGCAACATGCTAGGATGATTTGCGGACTGATCTAAAACATAGATGTAATGTTTGGGTGAATTTGAGCTGAATGGATATAATCAACTCTATTGTCTTTCCATCATGGAGCATAATGTTGCAAACTTCATTACATTCATTTAGTCCTTGTTAAACATCTTCTCACTATTGTGCTCTTCTCTGCCTCTGCCAGTTCTGGAAAACTGGGTCTATTGTGGGCAGACTACGTTTTTCCCACTAATTTTTTAGTGATCATGCAGGGGATACTGCACTTCAATGAATTAAGAAGGGAAATGAACTTTACAGCACCTAGTACAGGGCATGACAAAATTAAAAATGGAGATGACCTAGAAAACTGTACAAGGAAAAGAAATCCTAGAACAGAACCATGATGACTTGAACCACCTTCCATCGGTCAGCTCTAAGCTACCTGAGCTCCCAGGTCCTTCGCCCGGGCAAGCCACTACAGAGATTTTTCCTTTACTTGGTCGTGTATTTTGACATTAAGAAGGTGACAAGCACCCTACGCATCAAAGATGACTCATAATTGGGTGGTGGGGTTGTACAGACTTCTCGCCAACCTGGCTAGACTCAGTTTCTTGTGTATCATGAGTAATAGGAACAAGTATACAGAGCCATACTCCTAGAAATATGTATATATTCTTCATATATACTCAAAAGGCGTTTGCTGCAACAGTTCCTTTGACGTGTCTGTAGTTCCAAGGAAAAAAAGTTAGGTAAAGAAAAATTGCAGAACAGAAGTTATATTGCATTCTTTTTGCATAAAACTACTGTAGCGATAAATATGTAATTGTGCAGTGCTGCAAGCATTCAACAGATCAAACATCTGATCCCTTGTTTCTTTCTGTACTTCAAATCCTGCTGAGATATTCAAAGAAAGAAATAACAAAAATCCTGCGAGGAGTGTGGTTTTGATGTTGCTTTGCAAATAGAAATGTTGACATCAAAAGATATATGAGACACAGAAATGATTGTCTTGATTATGTACGCCTTGAAGAGTTGAATGAGCCTATTCTATTTATTTTAATGTTGTTTTGGCCATTTTATATTAAAATGATGTACTGTATGTCGTTGTCTTTATCATTCCTTGAATATCTATTTTCAGATTGGAGGCAGGTCAGAAGTAAAAGATGAACTTGTTTACCGGTTTATTTTCCCAGAAAGGCCAGGTGCTCTTATGAATTTTTTGGATACATTGAGCCCCCGATGGAACATCAGCCTTTTCCATTACCGTGCACAGGTATGTTATTTTAGTTCTGTCAGCGGCCTTCTTATGATAGTGGCCTTGTATGAAATCTCATAGATCTAATAACATTATCATATGCCACCTACCTTGAAACGTAGAAATGGATGAAAATCTTCCACAGAAAATTAAAATGGGATACACGGATTGTCACAGTAGTGTATAGCCAAACAATGCAAAATCATCCTTTTTAGACTGTCCAGAAGAGCTGCAAATGTACACATTCAGTGAGCTCATTATCTTTGGCAGGGCGAAAGCGGAGCAAACGTATTAGTTGGCATACAAGTGCCACCGGAGGACGTCGGTGAATTCAGGAGTCGTGCCGACAATCTTGGGTATGAATACATGTCTGAGATGAACAACGAGATCTATCATCTCCTTTTGCGCAGCCCCAATAAGGTCTGATCTCTGATGCGGCTGACTCTCACCAATCCAACCGATGGTTAGTGTGGCTTACCAAGGAGAAGACCCAATGCTAGGTAGGATTGTTAGTGTGGCTTGCTCTCTCATGTTGGAATAAAACCCTTGTCGTACCTGTTTGTGTAGAACTGTTAGTGTGCCATCCGTCGACAAGTTATTTGTTGTAGTAATGTGTGGTGTATTTGCTCTGCGCCTGTGGGGCTAAATCTCTTGTTTTGCATGCTTGTGAGGCACCAAGAATTCATGAATAATGATAATGATAGTGATGATCCAATCCAAGATCAAATGTTGTTGAGCGTTGCGTCGCACTTGAATCATCATTTGATGCCTTATTTTTAGGTCTCTCTTGCATTAGCAGTCCTCCCAAAGTTTTCAAAAATTCTGAAGAAAGAACATAGATGTAGTGTATGCTACGAGGCGAATCTGCAAATTTTCATTGAAAAACATTGTTGTCCTGAAAAGCTTTTGTATCGTTTTTCTTTTGGATTTGGATGGGAATTTAGTAGCCTCCGTCGCCGGGGTTGATCCCCTTCCTTGGATCTTCCCTTCTCCGGCCGGTTGGGTGGCTGCTGTCTCGGCGGTCCGGTTTGGTTTGCCTGTGCGGCGGTCTCTGTGGCCGTCTTTTCTTTGCGCTTATGCTTCATTCAAGCATGTTGGGCTCTCCTGGTGTTGTTGGTTGTTGCTGTCATGGCGGTGCGTGTGCCCAGCTAGTGGTTCTGGTCGTGTTCTGCCTGGTGCTGCAGGTCCTGCTACGGATAGTCGTCGCTCCATGCCAGTTAGTGTGCTTGGGTTTCATCTCTGGTTGTGGGTGGTAGGCGTCGTTCTTGTTTGTTTGTTTGTTTGTTTGTTTGTGGTGATGAGGTTTTGGTTGTGCCATCTGCGGCGACTTAAGGGTCGTGCTGTCGTGCCATCAGTGGCGTTGCAGTGGTATTATTTCATCTGTGGCGTCGTAATGGTGGTGCTGTCTTTGGTGTTGTAATCTCCTTCTTAATGAGTTACATGCTGCTCTCCTGCATGGTTTGAAATCTTGTAGCGTTGCCGTTAAGATGACACAATGGAATGTATCCTCGAATGAGGCTGACAATGCCAGAGGATGTATCCCTCGGTGGCTTAGTGTGATTGCGTCACGGGTATTCCTGGCAAGGAGTATGATATACCGGCCTTAAATGTCCGGGCTGACCGGCACCCCTCATATCTAATTCAAATTTTGGATGGATATGAGGAGGCCGAGCGCGCTCGTCACGTCAGATCCGGCCCCACGCCGGACCACCCTGACCCCACATATATTCGTCTCCATTCGCCCAACCCTAACCACTTCACTTCGCTCCGCTCCGCCCTTAAGCTCCCTTCCGACAATCTCTGGCCCTTTTCGGCATGACGGGCTACGGATCTGACTCCGAACACTCTGAATCTGTCCAGTGAGGCGTCATTTCATGCGGAATGGAGGAGGCTATGGACGTTCGCATTGCCCTCCACCTGCTTCCGGGAGGAGTGCTCAGATCTAGCGGGGCTGGAGGCTCGCGGTCCGTCAGCCGTCCCATCTCCGGTCCGCCGGCATATGAGTGCTACAGGGACCGATGTGCCTGTCGTGGGAAGGAGAGGATGCAGGTGGCCGAGACCCTCCTCATTGCCAACATGGCGCAGGCGCAGGCGGCAGCGCGCGCTGCCGCAGAGGAGGAAGCCATCTGTGCCCACATCCTACAGAAAACGATAGAGGAGGAACAGGTTCCCGCCATGGACGGACTGCCCCCTAAAGAGGAGAAGGAAGGCAGCGACGGGTCTTGGAGCTCCGGCGATGAGCAGATCTGACTTGATCCATATTACGTTTCCAAGCGCTACTTCCACGTGAAAGATGGCAAGGACACCCAAAAGGGCAAGGACTGCCATGGATGATCTTTGTCCATAGCTAGTACTCTCTCCATCCCGAATTACTTGTCGCAGAACATCCATTTCTGCGACACGTAATTCCGGACAGTAGAATATGCCGATTTTTGGTTGTTCAATGGCCTGTGCTGGTGTAACAGTCGAACGCTTTCTGTTGCATCCTGGATACTTTACGTTGCATGTGTTTGTATGGATTTGAGCTTTTCTAGTTGAAGTATCCGATTGTGCAAAGAAAAATTAAGGTGTGACCGGTCATTGCGCGTCCGCGGACATTTGAGATGCCAAATTTGATGTATCTGATTGTATATGCTCTAAAGCAGAGTTGACATGCACCAGATTTTGGGTGCATGGGACACTTTATATTGAACTGTTGCAAAAAGATGCTCAAAAGATTTGAATTTTTTTGTTTTTTTACACCAATACACATGCATTGGTCTAATTACCTGTAGAATTTCGTTCGATAATGTGTTGTATTATGTGTTGCAAAAAAATACAAAATTATATTGTTCAGGTGTCACTATGTGCCAGTGCTCACATGTCATTTTTCGAGATGATATGTTCTCTTTCTCAACTCACAACACGAAAGCAGAGCAGAGCGGGGCACACTTTTGTGAAGAATTTACAGAATAATTAATTAGATCACATTATTTGTATAGAACATACACACAAGTTTTTCACTTGCTTAGTTATTCTTTTTCGTAAATACGCAAAACTTGTGTATCATTGCATTGATAGAGCAAATTAGAATAAATACATAAGACAGTACAACACATGGCACGAATGCATCCATGAGAAGGCATGAACATAAGACCTGTAGCAGAGAGATATGGGATGCTCAGCCCGGAGAATCGAAAAAACCCACAGCTAAACCACCAAGCCTAGGTAGGGGCAAGCCGAACCGGCAAGACGTCGATCGTCTCTAGATCCAACACCTGGGACGCCTCGCGCAAGCAAAATGGCGCCTTCAAGAAGGGGAGCGATGTCGTGACGCCACCGCCACTCGATATGAAGAATCGGACCAAGGGTTTCCGCCGATGCTCGAAGAGGGGCACGGATAACGGCCATGGCAGCGTCTCCAAGAAGGGAAACGACACTTGCGGGTGCCGCCACTGCCAACATCGGCGAGTCGAGTCAGGATTTCGCCCTGACATGAGTTTGAGAAATCCCATTGCCGCAGATTAGAGTCCGGAGATGAGGAAGTCGCTTCGCTGGTCGAGATCACCACCTTAGGAGGGGGTGGTGGGATTGATGTTCCCTCCCATGCTTCGGATATGGGCGGCTGCGGCGCTCCAACGTCGTTCACCTTCTTGAAGGCGCTGCCTTTGGACAATGGGAGGGCGGGCAATGATCTCGTGCAGGATGGTCAACCGTTGTTTGCGGTCGGTGTGTTCTTCATTGTTGCGCTACTCAATGGCAGGTGTGCCCCATGGCGTCGTGCATTTTCTTCTCTCCGCGTCTTCGATTATGCTTTCGTCCGGCTGCTTGGGTCATGTGTCGTGGTGTGCTTCGAAGGCGAGCGTCGCAATGGATGAGGTGTTTCACGAGGTGAGGTGCTAGTGCCTGTCGTCCTACCCTCTCGTTGTTCAATGTACATGCATGCACGGGGGCAACTCCGCCCATGCCGACGTTACGGCGCCCTACGAGCTAGGGCGAGAGGGTAGGTGTTGCCATCTTTGGCAGCGGAGACGAATGGTGTGACGCCGGTGTGGCCTCGGAGTTTTGATGGCACATGGGCATCCTCGGGCGACAATTCACCTCCCTGGCTTTGTCTCTTTGACAAGATTGCGGCGTCGACCGAAGGCACCGTCTGGTCAAACTTCCGAGTGTGGGCTTTACGATGTCCTGCTAGCTGGCTCTGTAGTTTCGTGTATCCTTTTACTGTTTTTTGTGTGTGTCTGTGTTGATGTTGTCGTGTGTGTTGCGTGGCGATCTGGTCTGTAAGGGTGTCATTGATTCAACGCCGGGCCTCGGCCTTGTTTCTAAAAAAAATTTATGCAAAGGGAAAAAAAGGTGCGAGCAACCAAACGCGTTCTTATCGGCAGTAGTGATAGCCGTACTGTTTAACACAGCTGGCTAAAGTGTGTATGTTCTTATGGAGACTGTCGAAGCACTCGCTACCAACAGAGGACGTCCGTGCCCATCGACACATGTCGAATTCGAGTTCATGCGGAATATGTGGCGCGCCGGATTCATGGCGGCACTCCCTCCTCGAGTGTACAGTATCCAGATGTACTTAGGCTCTCATTGATGAGGATCTGGGAAGCAAGCTAGCAGTGAACACTGAACCAAGTGCAAAGAATTGGCTTTTCTCACTACTAGAAACACTATCGCATGATCAATTTGTGCTAACTGCAGTTACCCTTTGGGCAATCTGGTCTTCTAGGAGGAAAGCCATCCATGAAGCTATATTTCAATCCCCACATGCAATACAATCGTTCATCTCTCAGTTTATTGCAGACTTGAACGTTGTGCGGGCAAAACAGACAACACAACAAAGAGTGGCTAATGTGCAATCAGGAACCATTAATCGACCAAGAGCTCCTCCGGGAAATTTTGCTAAGATTGACGTGAACGCGGGTGTACGTGCCCAAAGAGGTGGGTCGGCAGCAGCGGTCTGCAGGGACAGCCACGACAACTTTTTGGGAAGCTCAGCGCTAGTCGTGTACGGAGTCAGTGATCCAGCGACGTTGGAGGCGATAGCCTGACGGGAAGCTATATTCCTTGCTGAAGATCTTCATCTCCAAAGATTCATCATCTCTTCTGACTGCAAGCAGATGGTGGAAGACATCACGAAGGGCAGCAATGGTCTCCACGGAGCAATCATTCAAGAGATAAAATCTAGATCGGTCTCCTTTTCTTCTAACTTTATTTTTGAAAGTCATAGTGTTAATGTCAAAACTCATAGGTTAGCAAAATTTGCTAGAAACCTAGCTCCGGGGCTTCATGTTTGGCCTGGCCAGCGACATGATCCAGTTTGCATCCCACCTTCTGTGGAATTTGATCAATAAAGTGGCTACATTCCTAAAAAAAAGGACGCCGATAAGTGCCACACGTGTGGGTGTTAGGGGGTCTGCTCACACATTTTGTGTGATGTATAAAAG